ATAAGAGAGAAATTAACATTACAAAAAATCTTAACTTTTTTTTCAAGTTGTCACTGAACCATGAAAATGAGGTTAAGGACAAAGGACAAATGACAGACGGAAACTTCATACCATAAGGCATCTATATACATAGTATGAAGCATCCAGGTCTTCTACCTTCTGAAATATTAATCTTTTAAGTAGTTGGTTAACCCTGCCATGGCCGCCAGATCACTATCCCTATGTCAAGCTTTCTTTGACAAAAATCAGTTAAAAAAGACTTAACTCATGAGATAGATACAGATAGAAATACAACCAATAACAAGAGGCTCTCAAGAGCCTGATCGCTCACCTTTAATTTTTTGCTTAAATCTTTCATCAATGATTATTTTTGCTTTTCATTGTTTTCAATATATATTAATGAATGGCTTAAAACTTCCATTGAAATGTTCTTTGTATCTGTCATATTTTCTTCAAAATCAAAGAAATGCATTTTACCCCTATGTTTCATTTTAGCCATAGTGGCTATGTTTCTTGACGTACAAGAAAATAAAATACAAAATTTATACTACCTACTCTGAAACTCATTCAGCCCAAGTTGTGCTGAAATTGATTCAGCAGTTTCAAAGGAGAAGATTTTTTAAAGTAATCAAACTAAATGAACAAATTGTGAAAAATTGATTTTAAAGGGCAATAACTCCTTAAGAGGACAATTGACAATTTTGGTCATCGAACTTATTTGTAGATCTTACTTTGCTAAACATTTTTGCTTTTTGCAGTTTATCTTTATCATTAATAATATTCAAGATAATAAGCAAAATCTGTAAAATTTCCTTAAAATTACCAATTAATTGGCAACAATCCAACAATGGGTTGTTAGATTCATCTGAAAATTTCAGGGCTGACAGAGCTTGGCCTAATAAACATTTTTCCCTCTCATCAGATTAGCTCTAAATGCTTTGGTTTTTGAGATATAAGCCAAAAATTGCATTTTACCTCTACATTCTATTTTTAGCCATGGGGGCCATGTTTTTTTACAAAAAAAATAAAACACAAACTTTATTCTAGATACCCTTAGAATCATTCAGCTTAAGTTTGGTTGGAAATGGTTCAGTAGTTTCAGAGAAAGATTTTTTAAAGTTGGAAAACATGATAAACAAATTGTGTAAAATTGTCCTTAAAGGGCAATAACTCCTTAAGGGGTCAATTGACAATTTTGATCATATGAACTTATTTGTAGATCTTACCTTGCTGAACATTTTTGCTGTTCACAGTTTATCTTTATCATTAATAATATTCAAGATAATAACCAAAAACTGCAAAATTTCCTTAAAATTACCAATTTAGGGTAGCAACCCAACAATGGGTTATCAGATTCAACTGAAAATTTCAGGGCTGATAGAACTTCACCTAATGAACACTTTAAACCCCCAGGTCAGATTTGCTCTAAATGCTTTGGTTTCTGAGATATAAGCCAAAAACTGCAATTTACCCCTGTGTTCTATTTTTAGCCATGGCGGCCATGTTATTTGACACAACAGTAAATAAAACACAAACGTTATTCTAGATACCCTAAGCATCATTCAGCTTAAGTTTGGTTGAAATTGGTTCCGTAGTTTCAGAGGAGAAGATGTTTGAAATAGTTTACACCAGACGGACGTCGACGGACGCCAAGTGATGGCATAAGCTCACAGTTCCTTCGGAACGGTGAGCTAAAAACACATCCCCACAACAACAAAAAAATACCAAGGACAGATCAGAGAGTACATGTACTCGCAGCCACTGACAGCTAGCTCAAAGCCAACAACTAATAAAAAAATCATGCATCTAAGACTAAAATATCAATCAGTACACATTATTAATCTCCTTTGTGGTCCATTGTTACATTGTGCTCCTTTCTGCACAAAGGAGGTCCTTTGTGGTGTTTTAAAGACCCATTGGTGAATGGTGAAACATCATACCGCAAGGAGGTTACATGAACTTCAGAAATATTAAAAGGCTCAGTTTTGGCCCGTTATTTGTGCTATACTGCATATATCAAATTGCCCTAAAAACACTGTTAAATCAGATTCTTCTTATTTGCTGATGATGTTAAAATATGTAGGATCATACATGTAATGGAGAAGTGCGAACAAGATATATTACAAAATAATCTAAATCAGTTAGAAAAATGGAGTGACACATTGCTCCTGAAATTCCACCTTGAAAAATTTTTAATATAAGGCAAAAAAAAATAATACGTGTTTCCGCTAACCCTATAGCTACCTACCCTAATTTTTAGTGCCTACCGAAACACTTTTTATGCCATTTTGGAACAAGCACTGTTAAAGTCAGACTGATTCCCTAGTAGTAACCAGCTAAAAAATGTTTGTAAAATAAAATGATATTGCCATCCTACCTACCCTGTTTTTTTTAGCACATTAGCGGAAACACATGTATTATTTTTTTGGCCTAAATACAACTGCAAGGGACTAAAGCACATCATACAATCTAATAGGGCAAAAGATAAGCGGATGCAAAGAAGAGAAGTTTATAGGTGTGGTCATAGATGAAAATCTATCATTTGACAAACATATATATATCTGCAAAAAAGTAAATAAAGCCAATTTAATTTTTGCTTCACTGAGACCTTTTAAAAATTTTGTCCTTCCTCTATAAAAAAATAAGTGAGAACACACTTAGACTATGATAGCTCAGTATGGGCACCTTTTAAAATGAAATTATAGATAAAATCGGGAATGTACAAAAAGAGAGTGACATGTCAGACTAGTCTTTCCTGCAGGAGGTTTTGGTGTGGTATGGCACCCTGCCCTTTTCAGGAAAAAAATTTGGCGCCATGCCCCTTTTCTGTTGTATTTTACTTTAGAACGCACCGTCATTATTTAATATCGGTTCTGCAATTCATCTTTTAGCAAGACCATTTCTAGTTATTTCCCTTGGAACGAAATCAAATTGTTAATGGCCGACATTTTATTGAATTTGGTAATTATGTTTGAATAGTGTTGAAGAGAGTATAAATACGATTCGTGATTGAATCTGATAGGGACAACATCGATTTGTACCTCTACGATATTAAAATGTAGACAATTTAGAAGGGAACCAGGTGATCGTTTGAGTTATAATTTTATGATACATAGGATGAAAATTACCACTGATTATGTAAACAATCCGATATTTGTTTATATTTTCTATTTATATTATTCAGTCGGTCGAGACATCGGATTGGATGTGAATTTACAACGGCTTTCATACTGTTGTTATCTTAATAAAATTAAAATTAAGAATATAGCGGATATAGTTTTGAATAGTACGAAAAATCAACGTTTCAACAAAAAAAAACACAAATGGAAAAAAGATGAAAAGCAGAAGAATATATGTATAGTAAGTCTTGCTATACAAATCTTTGAATATCCTAAATATTTGTACAGTTATGAGCCAAGGTAGCTTTGATTGGTATAAACATGCGAGATCCAAAAGGCATTTAGCTCTTCTTTTGTGCATCTATAAAGCAATGCATTGCATATGCTCTTTGTCATGCATAGTCCACTTTCACAACACATCCTTAGACAAACAGTGTCAGTGATCCAGTATCAAAGTTTATAACTTGAGTTAATTTGATTGAAATGAGGCAGTTGCACAATGAACATGATCAAGATTATATTAGCTGAGTCTAGAAGTGATAATTTTATTACAAAAAGGAATTAAATTAACAACCTAATAGTAATATACATATCTCTATTTCTTACCAATAAATATGAAACAATGGTTATATTCGATTAAATCCCTATCCATTACAGTGCTTTTATATATATGTAAAGAGTCCTCCGTGCAAAGAGTGCCCTTAAAGTGTAGCCAATCGCGCTAAGAGTGCCCTCTGAGAAAAAAATTACCCTGACCTTTTCAAAAGCTGCAGAAAACACTTAGACAGATTCCAGGTTTCAACAAATTAAGTTACCCGGAAAGACTAAAGAAGCTTAGACTACTGATGCTGTCATATAGAAGAGTCAGAGGGGGTATGACAGAGACATACATGTACAAAATACTGAATGGAAAATACGACCCAGAAACAAGTAATAAAAATCTAAATGCTGAAATTTTCCTTCCTCTTATAAAAACATTAGTGAGAATTTGACACACTTAGACTATGCTAGCTCAGTATGGGCACTTTTTATAAAGAAATATATAGATAAAATTGAGAATGTACAAAAAAGAGCAACATGACAGATACCAGGTTTCAACAAATTAAGTTACCCAGAAAGACTGAAGAAAATTAGACTACATGTACTTACACTGTCATATAGAAGAGTCAGAGGGGATATGATAGAGACATACAAGATACTACTCTCGTTCATCATGAAATGGCAATTTTATTTCACATTCGCCCATGCAAATACCCCCTCCCCTTTACGACCCTCTCTAATTATCAAGCTGAATTCACCTACGACCCTCTGATTATTAAGCTGATTAAAGGGAACAGAAATAATAGAGATCAAAACATAATATATGAGTCTGGTTAAGAGGAACTTTAAGGATCATGTACCAGAAAACAACATTAAACATTAAGTCACCAAAACCACAAACTAAATCAACAGAACAATTTGTTTTTATCCTGTTTTTAATCATGCGCAACTTGCCAGAATATTCATCATGTTGAATGTGGGCAGTATTTGGAAGAAGAAGAAGAAGAAGTAGGCTACCATGAGGGTCGACGTCGGTCAAGATATTAGCTGTAATAAGTACAAATACGGACCTATTCAAGTACACATTCTAGGGTGATAATTTCGTTCGTCCTGTAAGCTTTTGCATTTCGTTCACATGTCGTGGATTATGAGACGAACGAAATTACCTGATAGCTAACCAACATCATGGCATGTCGACTTTTGTCGTGTTTTATTTAAATCCAACCAGCTGATCAGTTGAACCTCTGATAAGTCTGTGTTCTTTTGTTATTCTACACAGACTATTTTATCAGACGACAGCCATGGACAACAACTTAATTAAAATGTTCAAACTGTAAGTACCTTTCACACAAGTCAAATAACGGTTTCTGCAGATGTTGAACTTTGCCGCGCTGCACATGCGCTGATTCTATAGTCTGGTGCATTCCCTTGACAGAGCAAACACATTCAGCACACCTCGGCAGATTTGGCATGGTTTGTAGAGAACTCTACCGAGGTTTGCCGATTGAGAGCAAACATTTTACCGACAGCCGATCCAGTCGAAATTTACCCGCACTGATCAGTTTTTATCTAATACTACGTGTTATAGTATTCCAAGGTTTTCGCGTACAACTTCTGTCTTCAGCATATTGAAATGGATTTAAAAATAAAAATAAGAGTAAAAATGTCTCTGATTCAACCTATTTTCTATTCTACTGTAATGCGTTTAATTTCAATATATCATATATTTTGAGAGGGCTAAATTCCACAGTGTACCAATCTGTAACTAAGGGAAGTGTAGACCAAGCAGCTTAGCTTCGACCCTTTTTTGGCCCGTAAAGATGGGCAGTTGATGTCATTCCGTACTCAACCTTTTATCATATTTTTTTTTTATTAAAAAAATACCCTTCAAGTTCATATTTTTTCCAGGCTTGTCATGGATTTTCAGTATACTATTCACAGATTTTTTTTTTATAAAAGGCGATGCAATGCATTATTAGTGTTAATTAATCTTGAGTTACTAGATTTGACAAAAATCTACCGTGGACCAAGGATTTGTATAGTAACATGGAATATATGCAAATCCTTGCGTGGACGCAGTATGAATGGTTTTAATAGACCACTTGCACATTGTTTGGTGATTAGTCGTACCGGAAGTACGTAACTTCGGAATTTCGAAATCTATATTGACTGAAACAAAAGGCGGGCAGAATTTCCAAATCCGCCATTGTAACTAGGGTAAATAAACGCATTTTAGATTGACGATGGTGAACAAGAATTGCATGTACGGGGTTTGTAAGAGTGACAGTAGGTACCCAGAGAGACTCGCGGAGAAGGATGTGTACTTTATTCCGTTCCCAAAACCATTACGGAATAGAGTGAAGTGTGAAAGATGGATACGAGCTTGCGGACGACATGACTTGAACGTGGAAAAAGTGACAAAATACAGCTATATATGTTCACTTCACTTTGTAAGGGGAAACGGTCCGACTGAGGAATATCCGGATCCTATTCCTGCAGGAGCCTGTGAAGCTGAAAAGGAGAATTTCATGCTGCAGAACCGGAAAAGAAGGGCACCAATAGACCGTCCCAGCCTTGTGTGTAGGAAGGTGAAAAAAACAGGTACGAAATGTATATATAATTTAATATAATGCTTGTATTTTCTTTATAAAGGTTCATAATGTTTACATATTACCTTGTTTCAAATTTGACATGCTTGACATATCTACCAATGACACTTTTAACTTGAACATTCAGGTGCTGCATTTATACATGTTTATGTACTCATGGTACTAGGAAATGCTGTGTGAAATAATGCAGGCGCTGTCAAAAAACAGTTTCATATTTTATACATTTTACTGTTCAACTTACAATCTTATAGAAACGTCAATTTGTATGAACAAGGCTATAAGGCCAATGAATATTGACTGCCCAAATAGCATACATGTAGTTGCAGAATAAAATCCATGACGACTTGCCACAATGCCCAATCACAAAAAATTTGCTTTACTGATGAAAAAGGCAATTCAACCCGCCCAAAGACATACACAAATAAAACAGAAATTGTATATCTCACTCTATGTACATTTATATAGACCTACCAGTTTGTCCAAATATAGTATTCACGAACAGAAAATATATGCATGATACAATGTATGTACATGTATGTTAGAAATATCTTAAGCATGTTGTGCAGTCTGCATCAAAATGTTATCTGATTGCTAGTTCAAAGACCAATATTCCCACATTTTCCCTGTGTCTAAACAAACTTTAACAACAACTTAATTACTAGTCTGGGGCATCAGACTATTCGTTAACAGTACAGACTGTTGTGAAAAGCACATATTTAAATCCACAACATTTCCCTATATTCATGTCAAATATTACATGTAGATGTGGCGTGCAGTTAAAAGAAAAATGTCTATCAACATGATAAACTGTCTATTTTTTGCATGTGTAATGTTTGATACAATAAAGCATTTCATAATTTCAGGAAAATCAGCTGATCAGAGAACAGTAGACCTAGATCACTCTTATTGTATAGTTCATGTTCCAGGTAAAATCTTTTAAAACATGTATATTTAGAAAAACGTCATCCTCAGTCAATATATCTTAAAATGTAAATTATACACCTCATACAAAGGCTACAATTGATATATTATCAATTTCCGAACATATTTGTATCAAAACTGTCAGCACATTACAGTCTCTTTTTAAAATCATATAATTTTGTTGGAATAACTTCATTTTTATAGATTTCATATTTTATCTTGAACAACAACATATTGGTTGTTATTTCAATTATTTGAATGTTTTTTTTTTGTTTTTGCTTACATGTATGTATTTGAAATTTTCCAGATTATATTTTTTTTAAATAATTGATCATGAAAAAGTACAATATCGAAAATCTTTTAACCATATCATGAAGTTCATAAGTTGATAATTCTTATATGATTTGCATATTACGGAATACATTGATATAATTGGTCGAGAGGACTTCCGGTAGTTGATCTTGACGTTGTTTATTTTTCGATAGACGACGTTGACCAAACTTCTTTTCGTAACCAATGTAAACAAGATGGCGGCTATAATAACACCGATATTAACAAAATTATTTTCACTGCACGTTAATCGTTAAATTAAATAATAAACACAAAATCATTCGTTGGAATGATAATAAGAGTTTTTGTAGTTTATTTTTAATCAGATAGCAAATTTCGTGGAGTACATATTTTTGCGTTAACCAACAAATATATTCATACGCCAGGCCTATTCAAGGACACAAATATACAATTTACGTGTGATAAAGGTTACGAGTGTGGAAAAATATATTCCTTATCTCCAATTTTAAAGAATTATAAGGATTAAACGCCTTTTTAAAGGAATTTATTGGTGTATAAACTGGACCAAGTCACTCACAAACATATCATAACAGTCCTTCAGACTTTTAATTGTTTGTGAGTGAATTGGTCAAGTTTATACACCAATAAATTCCTTTAAAAAGGCGTTTAATCCTATAACATCACACAAAGTAAAAATAACGGTCAGTACTATCATTTTTTACCCGCCATTTAGGATCCACCTTGTAAAATTTAGTTTTGAATGTGACTATTCCTGGACAAATCAAATTGGTAAAAATCTGTAAATTTATTTAGTATATAGGTAGGTGAACTCCAGATAAACAAATATAATTAAAAGTGTCTTTTTTCTTTTTGTTGACAAGTTTTCTTTAGATTATTTATCTGGCTGAAATTATAATTTAATGTAGATTTTTTTTCTGAGCATCTGTGTTGGGCAAGTTGCAAAAATATATTTTTTTTTGCTAAATACATGTAGAAAATAGTTTACCAAGTACATGAAATATCTTGCAATATACAACAAAATCATCTAAAACTTTAAATTTATAGATGAAAGTATAAAAAAAGCATTAAGTGTGTATTTCAAAAAATAAAATCATTTTAAATATGAAGGGAAGATAATTTTATTAATTTATGATAGATAATGGATTTCATTAAATAATTTTAGATTTTGAAGCAGAGATTGAACTAGGGCCTGGAGACGAAGGGAAGGTACAAGATGACATTGACACCACTATCTTTACTGCTACTCCTCTACCTGTGGAAACAACAGGTAAATTAATATATTTATGACTGGACATAGGAGCTGTATGTTTATAAATGGACTGGAGGATATGTGGGAAGGTGTGAAGTTACAAATTTTATACATCAACCTTGGCAATCAAATGAAATAAATCAAGTAGTGCAGCACTGTTCTATTTCTGGATTTAAACATATCATAATCTAATAAGTGTCTTATATTAGAATGTTCCTTATTAGTCCCCTTCCGACGAAGTCGAAGGGGATTTTAGGTTTGCACTCCGTCCGTCAGTCCGGCAAATCAGTTTTCCACACTTTTTTTCTTCATGCTTGAAGGTATTGATTTGATATTTGGTGTATTGTTTTATCATGACAAGTTACAGATCAAGTTCGAATTTTGTTCCGGTCTGATGATTTTGTGCAGAGTTATCGTCCTTTGACTTAGAAAATTCACTAAAATAATCAGTTTTCTGCACTTTTTTCCGTCATGCTTTAAGATATTGATTTGAAAATTGGTATATAGTTTTATCATGACAAGTTACAGATCAAGTTGGAATTTTGTTCCGGTCGAATGATTTTGTGCAGAGTTATGGTCCTTGGACTTAATAAATTCACTTAAATAATCAGTTTTCAACACTTTTTTCGTCATGCTTGAAGATATTGACTTGATATTTGTTATATAGGTTACACCATGACAAGTTATAGATCAGGTTAGAATTTTGTTCCAATACAATGAATTTTTAACCGGTAGGGGACTATGTATTGCCATGCAATACTCACAGAATGCTTGTTGCAGTGAATTTGTATAGCCACAATGTACAAAAATGTACTTTGAAACAAATGTTTTATTTTGAGATTTTTTAGTTTTTTACTTAACTAGTAAAATAACAATCACTTTATATTGTTATTTTGAGATTTTTTACTTTGATCTATTTGCAGAATGTAAATTTTCCATTAGTAAAGGGGCATAACTCTAGAATAGTTTAAGTGACACCACCAAAATTCAAACTTGATCTTTGTTTTGTGGTAAAAAGCATTTTGTATAAGTTTCATAATGTTTGGTTGAGGCAAACTAAAGTTAGAGCTCTAACGGAAAACAACTTGGGGACAAACTGACGGACAAGGGTAAAACTTAATGCCCCCATATGCTACAGCGGGGGCATAAAATTTGGAAAAATTATTTTTAATCCAATAATCAATGTTTCAATTGGCAGCGTTCATCTGACCATGACCTCATTTTCTTGGTTCATTGGTTTTGGACAAGAACATGAAAAAAACAAATAAATTCCTTTCAAAATTTAAATATAGGGT